AGAGAGAGAGAGAGAGAGAGAGAGAGAGAGAGAGAGAGAGAGAGAGAACAATAGATGGAAAGTTTTTCTTCATGATGGCAGATTCACATTTGTATTTTTTAACTTTAGAGCGAATTACGCAAGTTGAGGAGCTGGTCCGAATCTACCTTGATCTCGAATATGTTCATTATTAAGTTGTCAGGGTAAAGTGAGTCAGGACTACTTCAGCAAATCAGTCAGAGGGTGCATCAATTAGTAATCCATTTACAGAATTACAATGGGCATCTATCAATTATGGCCTCCTACATGCAGTGAATGGCTTGCGGAGAACAAATCAAGTATATTTCTATATTAGCAATTTCTGATAAAGCTTATGTAACAAAATGAGAAGATCTTGGGTAGAATGGTGTGTGGATAAAGACAGGGAGTAGGTGTAGCCTGTTGTGGATGCTTTATTTTTGTATTTCTGACTTCAATATGTCCATCATTAGAGTCGACATGACAGGGGAGTTTGTTAAGAGAATCAGACTGTCCATCTCTAGCCTCTCCTGTGTGATGCTAGGTGACCTGGAAGTAAAAAGTAACAGAAGGCATTCCCTCCCACTGGCTCCGCTGGCACCGGGCTGCCCCCACTCTCACCGTCAGCTCCACTATCACACATCACATCACACGAACACACACACACACACACACACACACACACACACACACAGAGCAGCTCTTTAACACTTGAATGTCCTGCTGATGTGCTCTCTTACGATCTACATTTCCACGTCCCGTCAGCCTTTACCCCTCTCTGTGTGGAGGACTTTGTGTGCCTTGCGGTCAGAGGTAGCCTAATTAAGCTCAGTAAGATCCCCTGTGGCTGACAAAAAGGGAGGTCCCAGGCCAGACAAAGTACGGCCCATCACCTACTCCTCTGCAAGGAAAGCCCTTCTGGCTCCAAGCCCAGATAACAGAGGATGGCTGAATGTAGGACTTGTATCTCTGCTCTGTGAAGGTGTTCCAGGGAGCACAACAACAAACAAACAAAAAGAAACATTGAGTTGTTTAACCGTTTACTGTGTGAGGCTGACGTCTTTGAGCATCTGCAAACTCCTGCCAACAAACTCAACAGAAGCAGTGCTTCATAGAAATATTGACAGACTTATTTTCACGAGTAACCTTGAAGTGTACTGTGCACACGGTTCAGGTTTCTGTGTCTTGTCTCGTGTGTGTAAGTAGAGCCCCTGCTGTCAGAAAATGACTGACGATGGAGACGTTCCCAAGCCGAGGAGAAAATGCAAAGCGGTCGTCTCGCTTTATCGTTTATCCTTCCTTCTGAGTCCTAAATGGTTTTTCTCATTCATCTTCTAGGTAGCCTCGTCAGTCTCTCTACACTGGGATACAGGATGTGTGGGGGCTGCTAGTTCACTAATTTAGATGCGAAAACATGAGAGGAAACATGAGATCAGCTTTTTTTTGCCTCAGTTTCATTATTCTCTGATGGGGGAAAGAAGCAGTTCGCCATGCAGCTTCCTCTGATGCATAGCGCCGTAATAAATACTGCAGTTCATGAGCAGCAAGCACAAACATGATTTACTTGTGACACATGAGTTATTTAGAGCAGATTTACCTGGAAGAGAAACATCTATTTCTGATAATGTCATCGCTTCCATTTCAAGTCTGTTCTTCCACATAAATAACCATGGTTACCATAGTGCATCTCTCCCTATGAAAGCCAGCTGCTGCCAGCTGCAACAGCCAAAGACAGTAATGAATATTGTTTGTGAATGATGGGAAATTGCACGTTCACTGGACAGGGGCATTCTGGCATGCTTGTGCTGATGTTGTGCATTAGGCAGATGCTCTTCTATAAGCTCATATTTCCTCATGTTATTTGCTCATGAGTCTTGTCTTTGCCATCTGAGATGGATCCCGTCTCCCTGGACCGTGTTTTCCCTCCTCTCCTTCTACCACAAGATGCCTCGACTTCACTGGGGTTAAAAATAGATATATATATCCCCCTGGTGCAGTTTGAGCCTAACTTCATTTTCATGGGGGAAATAAAAAGCACACATACTGCGCTGGAGGGACCAAGGGGAAAAAAAACAATAACCTTCAAGAACCAATGACAATTCAGTTTCTGTCTGTGTAAGACAACAGTACGAGGAAGAACAAAGGTCCAAACAAAAAGCCCTTTTGCTGAGGTTTAGATCTGTGAGTCTCTCTGTTCTTCATAGAGCTCGCTCACTGGGCTTTAATCTTTGAAATGTCTTTAGTTTTGATCTCAAATTAATCTTCACCATCTGTTGCACAGGATTGAAGCTCACCTACTCCTCCTGAAGTCTAAGAGAGCTTTAAATACCCAAATGAAAAAACAATCTTGCTAAATATTTGAACAGGAGCTTTCATGGCAGGTTAATGATCACAGCCTTTTCAGTCCCAGGGCCATATGGATGTGGATCTCCCACTGGCTGCTGCTGACCTCGATTCATCCTTCTGATCTTTCTCGGTACACACGTGCACACACCCGGGCGATACGCAGGGAGAAAGATGCCCATACAGATACATTTCTTTCTATGAGTCCTCACATCTCATGTGGAGACAAAGGGAGTGAGACAGGGAGAAGACCGGGGGAGACAGAGGGACAAAGTGAGTGAATGAGAGGAAGAAAGTGACGTTGCAAGAGAATGGAGACGGACGAGGATATGACGGTGAGCAGGAGAGGGAAAGGAGAGAATGTTGAGGCAGAGCGATCGCTGGAGTCAGAGTGTGACAGACTAGCAGAGGAGGAGGAGAGCGGCGAGGAGGAAAAGGGGAAGGGCGGGCGTGGGAGAGATGCGAGTTGAGTCAAAGCCCCCGAGCTCCCCTGATTTCTCTGTGAAAGACACTGTGCTGAAAAGATGGATAGCGTGTGCCCTCTCTGCCAAGGCATGCCCAAGACAATGACATCATCATCATCATCCTCATCAAACTAGCAAGGACGTGAGGCGAGCCCCAGACTCACGCTTGGATCTTTTATTCATCATTATTCACTCACTTATTCATCATTTGCACTCAGACTATCGCTTTGCACTGACACCAAACATGAAGTCTTTATACTTACAATTCTTCCTAAAATAAAATTATCTTACTTTTACAGTCAGACTGTCACTTTGGATCATGAATAGTCTTTATACATCATTCAAAATATTCCCGAAATAAAAGATGCAATCTTAAATACATATACAGCCATATGTGGACATTTTGGTGCATAGCACAGGAAAAAAATCATCACAGGTTTGGGTTTAACAGGGTTCTACAGTTACAGAACAGGGGAGGGGTTTTTTATGTCCTTCATACTGTATGTGCTGTGTGGGGTTGATACTGTTGCTGCAGACGCTTTTACTCTGGTGAGCAGCGGCGTCACTGCTGGCGCTGCTTATCTGCGAGTCTTTTTGCTTTATTCTGGAGGTAACGTGCATTGCCTTCATCGAAACGTCTCTGCTCCTCCTCTCCGTCAATCTGAAGACAAAAAAAGACAGAAGATTAGTTAACAGACACATTCATCATTTACACATATTGTGCACTGGAATGCTTCCCCTTTGGTTATTACATTGGGCATGAAGCTCTGATCTAATTTACCAGTCTGTGCCGTTGTAATTGTCATTCATCTTCTTAATAAAATACAGAATGAATGACAAACTCAGAGAGGCTTTGCATTGGAGACTAAAGAAGCAGAATACATCTCGGTAAAGTTGAATGAAACCCCATGAGATGATTTGCAAGACATTTGCAGGACACTGAACCCCTTGAAATTCCTTAAACTTCATGATTTTTAAGTCATAACATATTAAACAACGCAGAGCATTGTGAATGTATGTGTCGTCTACAGAACATTTGATATTTCTGCAAAGCCGGCAGTAAGGAATAAGGATTGGGATATCAGTCAGTGGTCTTTGGTCGTGAAATTTAACATTATCAGCAGCACAACTATCAGATTGTATGGAATTTAATGAGAATATTACGTCAAAGTTACCTAAATAATAATTGTTAGGATTTTTTGTGACTGTTGGCTTATCATCTAATATTACCAAATGATAAAATATCTCGTAACCAATATTGTAACCATGATAAGGAAACTCAAACTAATTCGCAGAGTTCCACGAATATGGATGTAAATATTTACAGCTCCCAGCTAAATGGATCCTAGCGCTTTTTACTGTATGATTGCACTGTACGGTATCACCATAATCTACTTCCATAACAGAGTGTCGTATGCATATTATATATATATATATATCAATCAGTTTTAGCACACCACGTACATAATATATTGGTATTATTTTAAATATTGATCATCACACCTAGGGATTCTGGGAAGAGCTCCTGGATTTACATGAATCAATTATTCACTTCTGTTTTTATTCTGAGCAGCACTTTCAAGTCTGTGACCAACACTTCTTCTCTTTGTCCTTCACTTAGCTCAGTTTGGCTGCTGATTCGTGGGAGGAATAGCCTGCACAGTTTATTAACACTGCCTGGCAACCTCGTGACTTAAACAACAATACCACCACCGGTGACAGTGTCAACACTTACTTTAATGGTGCTGCCCGCTTCCCCACTCCCTCATCCGCACACTGTTCTTGGGAGTGGGGGTGTGTGTTGTATGTGAGCACGCACACACACAGGCCTATGCATGTTTTCGTATGTAAAACTGTTAATACCGACGTCAATGAGCTGTTCAGATGGAGGCTCCTTGCTTTGCACACACCAGGTGAGTGGCAGATTCAAGAGCACCTGCCACTCAGCAAAGCTGACAGACGGCGCCTTAACTTTATGGAGAGAGCAGAGTGGGAACGGATATGACAAAACACCACGCCAGGGACAAATATAGGGGTCACGACACAAATATGAGAATATTAAAATAGTGACGCTGCGCCACGAACACAACAGCGGTGGGATTATCTATCTCTGCAGAGCTGGTTCAGGAGCATGCAGCTGTAGTATTGGTGTGTTTGTTGTATGCTGGTTATATAACACTCAACATACTGCTCAGTCAATTTTGCTTCTGCCATTCAACTGAAAGTAATGGATAATTCCAGTTCATTGACTTTCCCAAAAAAAAAAAAAAAAAAAAAAAAAAAAAAGAGAGCGAGGGAGACCAAGTTTCACCACAGTTCCAGTATTTTCAAATATTTACAGAAACAGAAGTGCTGCTCAGACAATATCATTTTAAAAGGTACACAATCAGGAACTGTGGAGTCTTGTTCTAGTGTGTGAAAGTCACTGATTGTGTACACAGTCACACTGCAAATTCATGGATTTAAAATAAAATAACAAATACTGTAATACCCGTAGAGGCCTTTCACACACTATCCGTTTTCCCTGTGTGTTATGAAGCGCAGCAGTTACATACAAAACCAGTGTTGCTCTCTGATCATATAAGACATATGTACTAACATAACAAGTTCAAGTAGCGCATTTAGGTAATGTCTTGTTGCTGCATATTGTAACAAGTGACAGAGAAACAGTTATATGATGCTTTCCATGTGTCATCACTGCACAGAAAGCAAGCATTTTCTTTTGAAGTGGTATCCAATGGTTAGCTGTGGCCATGTTGGGAGGCAGACAGCTACGGCTTCTTGATTATTATAATATCTTTTGAGTTGTTTGAGTCTGTGTATAATACCCTGTCTCTAATTAGACAGGAACATTAGGCAACTAGTTAACATTTCCAATTGGACTGCAAGCAGGAAAACGTAGCGGGAGCTGGTCATTACAGTATTACTGAGATAAGACCCGACGAGGTGATTTGGGAGCCTGAAACCAAACAGAGGTTTATAAATCATCTACTTTAGCACAACTATTGTGCGTGCCAAAGACATCCATCATTTGACACAACACACTGGTTTAAAATGATTTCATTACAAGCCCAAAAATAGTTCAGAGGGACTGCAGCCATGCAACCACATCCAAGTAAAACACTGACGGTAAGATGATGGGACTACATTTGACCAGAAGAATCTGTGAAAAGTAACAATATTAAAATGGTTATCGGTCTGTTGCATCTATCTGCAGTTACAAAAGTTAAAACAGCTATTTTTATTTTTATTAATAAGGTGTCAGTTGGTAATATGATAAGAAGTCAACAACATATTTAAAAGTGAGACTAGCTATAGGTTGGTACTGGGTGAACATTTACATTTAAATGCAGTCTATGGTGTATTAATCAAGAGTGTCTCAGGCTGTTTGTGCCTTCTATTCTCATAGTTTCAAATCCCTCATATCTCTCTCCCACTTGGGCCCCCGAGGACTTAACCATTATCTAATTAGACTTTTAAAACCATAGTCAGCTACAGGTTGAAATGGTTCAACAAGCATGTCAGTTTAACAGTAAACCTCAATATTGCTAATGAAGAAGTTAATAAGATATGAGATATGGTCCTCTAAAGTTACGATGCAATAGGAAAGGAGACACCATTCTGGCAGCAGAAAATGTGAGACTGACTGTTTAGGTGAAGGATAGGTTCATGTAGGCACCGACTATTAAAACACTGGACTTTGTAGTTATAATTTAAACTCTATTGATTAGAGATTTCTCATACGCTACTTGTTTTGTGTTGTCTCTTTCATTGGTTCAAAATGCATTTTCATAATCATAAAAATATACCCGTTTCCAAGAAGAATATTTCCAGGTACTGTTTTTCCGCTGCCGCCTGAGTTTAATGATATCGGTCTTATCTCACAAACAAAACTACAGGAAGACGCAGGCGTTCCAGTTATTGTTTTCATTCCAAGAAACAGTCCTTCATGTTATTAGTGGAAAACAGCATTATCCAGTCCGAAGAGACACAAATGCTCACCAACTGACAGACTTGCACTATAATGCGGTCTGACTCTACATAACATTTAATGCTGGTTTAAGCCTAATGCAAAGTAAATTATCCTTTCTAATGATTGAAAATTTTGCTTATTTAATGGCTTGTTTACTCGTTTGCTGTAATAGTTCTAATGAACCATAACATCACAGCTAACATATCCACAAAACCCTAACACTGGTGCTTCTACAGTTGTGTCCACGTGTCTATGTGTGCACATTATTTGTCCGGCTTATACTTTGTGTGCATTTCATGCTAAGCTGCACGCGTGCATTGGAATGTTTATGCTCATGCGGATCACGTTTACATAACCCACTGTGACACTTCAATGCTAGGCTCAAAATGTCCTTTTGGTGTCCCCGTGTAATTGGTATTCCCACAGTGGCTCTAGTCTAATAACTATGATTATGCAGGATCATCACCTGCTGCTGGTGACTCTCTGATGCAGAACCCCCGCTAAAAGCAGTCATGCTTGTTTTATTACTTCTTCAACTTAGATGTCTCCAATCGCATTGCTTTTTAGCATTTTAACGATAAAATGAACGTGCAATTACTGAGCACGTATTGTGCAATAACTTTGCAATAAACGTGACTATATGTGTAACAGTTCATACACGGCAAGAACGAGGGCCCACATTGTGTAAAATACAATAGCTCCCCTGTTGACCATCTTAAGATGTTAGCATGCAAACATTTGCTGCTGCAGAGTTGGATGACTGCATCTGTGTCAATCCATCCAATAACTGTTGAGGTGTTTCCGTCGGGACCGAAGTAAACCGACATCTCTAGAGCCATGCTACTAGAGTGGCTAATACAAAATAACACACACACAATAAATCATACTGGAACACTTTAAACTATTCATTTGAATATCACCCACAGATGACCAAGACAAAGTCAGACATCAGAGCCTTGGCCGATGGGGTCAAACGGCCACCAGGGTTCATACACATTTTGACCAATGGATTTCCATGACTTTTCCATGACTTTAAACCAAATTTCCATGACCAAACATTTTGTGAAATCTCGGTGTATACATGAAAAAGTGAGAAAATGTAGTATTTAAACTAACAATGAGAATTCCAAAGCATACAGTATACCTTAAATGACACAAACGAATGAGAGACAATAGTTTGATTAAAAGAATAAACATTTATAAATATACTCTGGTTGACACTGACACATCAATAAGAGCTTTAGTAGGTAGCAGCATCCAGCTAGTGCACATATTGCTTTCCCTTTTGTAGTGCAATTTTTTTCATTGAACCCTGTTACTGTATGGCTTCATATTAACTTCCACTGTTACTGTACAGCCGTTAGAATTGTGGCCTATCTTCTATTTGCAATTAATATGCATTCAATCCAGTTCAATTATTTAAATGAAAATGATAATCTACTCTGGCTAAGGTAACTTATCAAGAGTAAAATAATAGCTGTGATCTATACACATTAGCAACCCGCTGAAATGAAGGTACAGGCACCTTAACCCTCTCATTACTTCAGGGTTCTTGAGAGCAACGTGGGACTGTTAGTACACTGGCTGTGGTCATTACACTGAACAGTGTCTGGCAGAGTGATGAGAGGACATGTGAGCCCTTGTTGCTGTACTTCATCTCCTTGGAGCAAAGGCTGCATTTAGCATAC